TTTTCAGGATTTAATGAGAAAATGAACCTGATGTACCTAACAAGGACCAGAGTCAGGACTTAAGAAATTATAACTGTCCTGCCCTGTGATGCTCACATAGTTTCCAATAATATGTAAAAATGACTTCCTGAATCACAGAAGCCTTCAGAAAATGCCCAGAGTAACTTACATCAGTCTTCCCTTTGAAGCAGAATTTCAGTGAGCATTTTTAGTTCTTTAGCTGTGAAGAAGCCCCCAAGGAATATTTACTTTGGAGATGAGATGAAGGGAACACAGAATCAATAAACAGCAACAACAAAATCAAAAACACTTTCAAAAGAAAAAGAAAACAAAAACCAAGTTTGATCCTGGATGGATCGAACTGGTTTCACAGACAAACTTTGCCTTATAAGCATTTTTTCTTTTTTGAATTTTTTTTTATTAAGTGGTTGTACAAAGAAGTTCCCATTCTACAAAACAGTATATGAATACAAAGTGTCATAGCATTGTCACCCATTGCTCCTAACCCACCCCTTCTCATTATAAGCATTTTTAAAAATTACAGTAGCATTAATTTTTTATCAGAAGTGCTAAGTTGGAATGAATATTGGGCTCAAAATGATAGTGTGCATTTAAATAAAATGACAAAGGCCTCGTAAACAATCTACTTTTATTTGTTTTTTGGCAGTCTACATTTCCCAAGAAGAGTTGTTAGAAGATGCTTTTTTTTGCCAGTTGTGGGGCTTAAACTCAGGGCCTGAGAGCACTGTCCCTGAGTCTTTGTGCTCAAGGCTACTACTGCTCTACCACTGAAGCCACAGTGCCACTTTGTGGTTTTTGAGTGGTTAACTGGAAATAGTCTCACAGGGACTCTGTCAGTAGTGGGGCCTGAACTCTGGGCTTCAGCTCAAGGCTAGCACTCTACCACTTGAGCTACAGCACCACTTCTGGCCTTTTCTGCTTATGTGGTGCTGAGGAATCGAACCCAGGGCCTCTAGCATGCAACGCAAGCACTCTACCACTGAGCTATTTCCCAGCCTGAAGACGTACTTCTTAAAAGCAGCTTCCTCATTACTATGAAAGGTTATCCTTTTACTCACCAAGAAATCTTTTGCTGCAAGACTAAAAAAATCTTGGCAGCTTCCACTAACACCTTTCATCTTTCTTGTCTCATTTTCAATCTCTTTCACTTCTTAAATATCTTTTTTGCTTGATGAACCAAATGCCCTGCTATAGATCTTTTCCTGCCAGAATCCTTACCCCCATCCTTCTGTATTTCTGATACCACCCTTTGAAGATTTGTGAGTTCTAGTCCAAAGGTATCACTGGGTTTGCATTTCCAACCCTTGTGCCTTCTATCTTGATTACTTCCCCAGGGTCTACTCTGACTTCTATTACTAAATATCTCATTACTGCTGAAGTCTATCCTTTGTACTGGAGCTGCTTCTAAAACTGCTTGCATTGTTGTCCAAGTAACCACTGTGTGTGCGTGTGCACACATGCCAACATGCCAACATGCACATGCGCAGGGACTCAAACTTAGGGACTGAGCACTGTCCCTGAGCTTTTGTGCTCAAGGATAGTGTTCTACCATTTGAGCCAAAGCTCTAGTTCCTGCTTTTGGTGTTTAATTGGAGATAAGTCTCACAGATTTGCCTGCCTTGGCTGACTTTTGAAATAATCCTCAGATCTAAGGATGTCAGCCAGCTGAGTAGCTAGGATTAAAGGTGTGAACCACCTGCAATCAGCCAAGTAACTACTTTTAAACAAAGTGTTTTAACTCATTCATGATTTGGGATATCATTTTATTAAATTATTTTAATACAGAATGGCAGACAACAATATGTCAGAGGTGGGTACAAATGCTCATAATCCTAGGATCAAGGTTCAAAGCCAGCCTGGGCAGCTTTCTTCACTAGCTGACTCTCTGGTCTCTGCTGTGTCATTCTTTATCTCTCATCCTACATCAGCTTCAGAGCAGTTTTGCTACCTAGCATGTATTTACTATCACAAATCTCCATTAGAAGACTAGCTTTGTGAATAAGTGTGTCTAATACGTTGGAGATGCACAATTAAGTATATTTGTTGTCTAGTGGAGAGGTTAAGTAACTTGACCAAATCATGCTGCTACCAAGTATCCAAGCAATGAAGTTGAATAATTTTTATTCCCAATGTCTAAATCAGAGCCTGGCCACTAAACATCTAGTATTTCACATACAGAAAAAACAACCAGTATTGTTTTCAAGAGCTTTTTGTGGCAGCGGCTAGAGGCAGAATGAGGAACCGCATCAGCCTGTCTGTAGCTAGGTTCCAAGAAAATAAAGTTGTCAAGGTAAATGGGTTAGAAGAAACAAAAGGTGATGCCATTCAGGGGCGCTAAGGCAGGAAGACTGATTTTCAGGCCAGCCTAGATATATAACAAGACACTGTCTTAAAAACAAATAGCCAAGTGCTGGTGGCTCATACTTGTAATCCTAGCTACTCAGGAGGCTGAGATCCGAGGATTGTGGTTCGAAGCCAACCTGAGCAGGAAAGTCCATGAGATTCTTATCTCCAGTTAATCACAGAAAAAGCCAGAAGTGGTGCTGTGACTCAAGTGGTAGAGCACTAGCCTTGAGCCAAAGGAGCTCAGGCCCATAGTTCAAGTCCTACGACTCACAAATTTAATTAATTAATTAAGTTGCTGGATAAAACATGACGTGGTGTGCTAAAAGGGATTATTATATCCAAGAGGATTTTTTAATTAAATAGTGTACAAAGGGATTACAATTCCATAAACCAGGTTATCATCAGTACAGTGCATCTCAATGTCATGCTTCCATCGTTCTTCCCTATTTCCCCCTCCCCTCTATATCATCAAGTTATGAGGTTCAGTTTTTACATTATGTACACCGAATACATGACTGCATTTGCTCACCCTTCCTCTATTCCTGTGCCACACTCCTTTTGCCCTCGGTAGAGGCCTTTTTTATTTTTGCCAGTCCTAGGGCTTGAACTCAGGCCCTGGGCACTGTCCCTGAGCTTCTTTTACACAAAGCTAGTATTCTACCACTTGAGCCACAGCACCACTTCTGGCCTTTTCTGTTTATATGGCCCTGAGGAACTGAATCCAGGGCTTCATGCATGCTAGGCAAGCACTTTACCATTAAGGCACATTCCCACCCCCAGTAGAAGCCTTCTTGAGGCTTGAACTCAGGCCCTGGGAACTATCCTTGAACTTTTTTTGCTCAAGGCTATTGCTCTGCCACTACGAGCCACAGCTCTACTTCTGGTCTTATGGTGGTTAAGTAGAGATAAGACTCTTCCTTTCCTGCCTGGGCTGGCTTCAAACTGAGATCCTGATATCTCAAGCACCTGAGTAGCTATGATTACAAGTGTGAGCCACAAGCACCTGGCTTGTTATCTGCTTTTTAAATTAACATTATATCATGAGCATCTATGTCAACGGACACATTTTTGTATACTCCCATGATTTCAATTCAGCTTCTTTTCTACTGTTGGACATTCAGAATTGTATGCTACTCTATATGTCACAATAAATCTTCTATAAATATGTATACTGGGCATGGTGATATATACTTGCAATCCCAGCACTCAAGAGGCTGAGGCAGGAAGATCAGTCTAGTAAACAGTAGTCCTGTTTTCAACATTTGACAGGCTTCATTCATATAGTAGGCAACTGGATGGAGGATTTTTAGTAGCCAAGTCAAAAAGTTTTGACCAGGAGTTAGATGGACATGAAAAGGAACCTAAAGCACAGATACGCAGATCAGTCTGAGGCCAGCCTGGGAAAATATCTGAGACCTAATTTTAAAAGCAATTAGAAGCAAATGGTAAGCCGGGTGCTGCTGGCTCATGCCTGTAATCCTAGCTACTCAGGAGGCTGAGATCTGAGGATCATGGTTCAAAGCCAGCTCCGGCAGGAAAGTCCATGAGACTCTTATCTCCAATAAACCACTAGAAACCTGGAAGTAGCACTGTGGCTCAAGTGGTAGAGCGCTTGCCTTGAGCTGAAGAGCTGAGGGACAGCACCTAGGCACAGAATTCAAGCACCATGACCGACCAAAAAAAAAAAAGAAAAAGCAAATGGTAGAGTGCTTGTCTAGCATGTGTACGGTCCTGAGTTCAATCCCCAGTACCTCTATAAAGAAAAAAAGAAAAATCCATTTTTCTATTCAGTCCATGTTTATGCATCATATAGCTGCTGCCAATGGCAATGTGAATTTACCACAGAGCATCATTTTTCCAGCTCAAACTACAAAGGTATATATTACATATACTATATACTTTATGTAACACATATACTATATAACTCTTCTTTACAAAAAGTATTAAAAAGTTTTGAGCATGGTGGTACACTCCTGTAATCCTAGCACACAGCAGTCTGAGGCAGGAAGAACATGAATTCAAGGCCAGCCTGGGCTATATATAGTAAGACTGTCTCGAAGAAACAAAAAAAGAAAGAAAAAAGAAGAGGGGTAAGAGTAAAGGGAAGAAGAGAGGAAGGAAGAGGAGGCCCATACCACACTGCCTCTAGTTTCTCTGAGAAATAAAACATATCAATATTACATGTTAAGTTAAATAAGTAAAAGGCTATTATCCTGAAGTTGTCTCCAGTACTTTTGGTTCCTATGTAAAAAACCCTGCAACCCACCTCAATATAAAAACAAACTTGAAACCTAAATTAAGAGTGAATTTTTATAACAAATAGCTGGGTTTCAGCCCAACACATATAGCTGAACTACGGCAGTAACTGACAACTCATCCACCATGTCCAAATAAAGCAAGGGTCTGGCCATTACCAATACTTTATTTCCTTTTTGGCTAGAAGGGCACGCTGTCCTCAATGCAGTAAAGCTCCCTGAACTCCTTTCCATTAAGGGTGCTGCCAGATCCATGAGTTCATCTTTGCTCAAATATCCTCTATTAAACTCAATTTGTTTAAAGTTTTCTTGAACACAGAAGCCCACAGGGACACCAAACAGCCAGTGAATCGCTGCTTTTTTCATAGAACAAGCACCTGATTTTCAAATAATTTCTTTCTTTTCATCACTTGCCAGACTGTCCAAAACTTCAATCTTGCCTATTCCACCTCCTGAATTCGGAAGCTTAATGGTATCTATGGTGACTTCACAGGGGGCACTGTTCTCTTCATCCTCGGACTCCGAACTGTCCTCAGAAGTGTCCTCTGAACTCTCTTCTGAACTATCCTCTTCTTTTGAATCTGACTGATTCATCTCAAATAACGCCACATCCTGTAAAAGGTACAAGGTGAGAAATCTATTTCAGAACAGTTCTCTAAAATGCTACAGTGAGACCAGGTGCCAGTGGCTCACGCCTAACTACTCAGGTGGCTGAGATCTGAGGATCGCCCAGCCCAGTCAGGAAACTCCGTGAGACTAATCTCCAACTAATCACCAGAAAACTGGAAGTGGCGCTGTGGCTCAAGTGGAAGAGCGCTTGCCTTGAGCTGAAGAGCTGAGGGACAGCACCCATGCCCAGAGTTCAAGCCCCATGACCAAAAAAAAAAAAAAAAAAAAAAAGCTACAGTGAAACAACTAACGATTCAGGATAAATATTAAAGTACAGAGGTTGAAAAATGTTTTTAATACAAATGGCATTTCCATGCTTTTAGTTATCAGGATCTATCATAATCACATAGCCAGCTTTGGTTTGGATGATTTCCATTTGCTAAAGTCTAAAAACAGTCTGCTGCAGCCTAATTTTATAATCTGTATACTTCCATCAACTTTCATTCAAAAAAACATTAGCATGAGTCAGGCAACATACTCGGCTTAGGTGTAACAGACTTAACAACAAAAACATCAGATCAAGCCAGGTGCTAGTGGCTCACACCTATAATCCTAGCTACTTAGGATGCTGAGATCTAAAGATGGAGGTTCAAAGTGAGCTGGGGCAAAAAAGTCCTGTGAGACTCTTATCTCCAATTAAGTACGAAAGAGCTAAAAATGGAGCTGGCTCAATGTGGTAGAGCACTAGCCTTGAACACAAAAACTCGGGGACAACATCCAGGCCCTAATGGACTGGCACCAAAAGAAAAAGAAAAATCAGAACAAAATTCTGCCTTCCATTCATAAAGTTTACACAAGCAAGGTTTAGCAAATGTATAATCTGCAGGCCACATCACATCTGCTACCCGCTTTTGTTCAGCAACAAACTAAGAATGTTTTCTGTATTTTCAAGGGCTAAAGAAAAGAGTAGGGCTGGGAAGGTGGCTCAGTGGTAGAGTGCTTGCCTTGCATGCATGAGGCCCTGGGTTCGATTCCTCAGCACCACATAAGCAAAAAGAAAAAAGCTGGAAGTGGCGCTGTGGCTCAAGTGGTAGAGCGCTAGCCTTGAGCTGAAGAGCTGAGGGACAGTGCCCAGGCCCAGAGTTCAGGCCCCACGACCAGACCAAAAAAAAAAAAAAAAGAAATGTACTCACTATCTTGCCCATGTAATTGTAACCCCTCTGTACAGTATTTTCACAAAAAAAAAAAAAAAAAAAAAAAGAATAGACTCCAAGGAGAGGGTGGAAGTGGGAAACCTGTTAGAAATTATTGCAATAGTCCAGGAGAGAGACTAGAGAGGGAACTTCAGAAGTTATCCAAAGTGGTTGGATTGAGGATAGATTCCAAAGGCAGATGCCCAGATTTACTGATGAATAAAGTATTATTAACCTTGGTGTCAGCAAGGCCCAGATATGTGTAAAAGGAATGGTACTGAAGAAGGAAAATGAGTATAAAATGAGACTCATTTCACAGGAAGCTTATGGAACCAGTTTGCACTCATATTCAATGAATCAGATGATAATTCCAATTCTTTGGGGGCTTGGATGGGGAAAAAAAATCTATATAGGACATTTAGTAAATGAATGTTTTCAGGATAACAAATTTAATATCTGACTTTGAAAAAGCTCTCCTCTGGCTTCCTATGATTAAAGCCCTAGAGTGTGCCAGAGAAGCTTCTGGACCAGTAAGTTCTGGAAACATGAACTCTACAAAGGAAACTAATGCTTGGAAACAAAGTGGAAAGGCTCTTGTTCTTTTTGCTTTTATTTCTTACTGCTGGGTTTTGGTTTTCTTTTTTAGATTCCCCCCCCCCCCCCCCCTTCTACCCACTCGTTAGGTGTCAAGACACACTGACAACCTCAAGAAATCAAAATGAAAATCAAGCACAGTTATTTACCATTTGTATAACATTTTCAAGAGTCCCATCAATATTTTCAATGTTGAAACGGCCAGGTGGAGCAACTGCCATTTCTTTCTGTAACTTTTCATTTGCCTGGGCCATCTGTGGGAGAAAGGTCTGTACTTGGTCTAATACTATGGAGAAAAATATAGGAGATCAACATTTATGTTAGTAAACTGTACAATCCAGACTTCTCTGAAAACACTTCTAAACTGAGTAGTGGGAACACTAAAAGTCTTTTCAGCTCTTTTCCATTTGACCATTTGAATCTCCACCCTTGGATGATTTTTTTTTTTTTGGGGGGGGGGGGGGTTGGTGGTAAGAAGCCACCACATGCTAGGCAAGCGCTTGACCACTGAGCTACAACCCCAGACTCTCTTCAGCACTCCTACAGCAACAAGACTCCACAATTCAACAATTACATTTCAAGGGGCTGGGAAGGTGGCTCAGTGGTAGAGCGCTTGCCTCGCATGCCTGAGGCCCTGGGTTCGATTCCTCAGCACCACATAAGCAAAAAGAAAAATACCAGAAGTGGCGCTGTGGCTCAAGTGGTAGAGCGCTAGCCTTGAGCTGAAGAGCTGAGGGATAGAGCCCAGGCCCAGAGTTCAGGCCCCATTACCGGACCAAAAAAAAAAAAAATAGACTAGTGCTCTACCACTTGAATCATAGCACACTTCCATATATACAGTATACTTTGAACAAGTATTATTCTCCCTCCTTATAGTCCCTGCCTCTTCCTCTCTTCCTTGGTGAGGTTATTAATACAAGGTTATTAAATCCCATTCCCATCTCTTACTAAGTTCCTTTAAGCAAGTTAATTAAGTAATGTTTGTTTTTGCCAGCCCAACATCTATTCCCTTCCTTCTGAAAACATAATCTCAGTGAGGGTCTGGCTATGTAGCCCAGGCTCCTTTCCAAGATCAAGCTCTGTTTCAGCCTCCCAAGTGCTGGGATTATGGAAGTGCATCCCCCCTTGCAATGAGCTTCCTTTCAAGCTTGGGTGACTCTTGTTCCTAATTGCATACCTGTTTATATCTTCCACAGCATGTCTCACTAGAATTTGATCCAATTTGATGGAATACAGGGTCACAATGTTCTCATCAGGCCAGTAAGTCATCAGTCTGAGACTTTTAATTAAATTGTTGAAAACTCCTCTTTGTCAGAGAATGAGTGACTGAATATGCTGTTGGAAGATAAGCCTGGAGCTTCTGACAAAGTGGCTTTGGGGAGAGACGGCTCTGGAGGAAGCCACTATCTAGGAAAGCAGAGCTGCGACACATGGAGCTGCCACCTTGGATTTTGGTAAGTACCTGCATGGAGGTGCCCTTGCCATTACTGCATCTTGGCTCTCTATTTCCATTTAAATGAGCCAATATAGTTGTCTCCTTTTTCTTTTCTTCAAGCAATCTGAGCTGAGCTCCAGTCACTTCAATTAAGAGTCTAGGGAAGGCATGTGAGTTCATCACTCTAAACTACCTATGAAAGACGCTGATAATTGCCAGGTGTTCTGCTATATATACAAAAGCCAACAAACAAGGGACATTCAGTTGCTTTATCTGTCAAGAGGCCTAGCACACAACCATGCACATAATGGGCTCACAAAGCTTATCAGGCCAATGCTATGGCTATATAACAGCTGACTAAAATGCCCAGAATGTGGAAGAAAAAGGCCAAGTATGAGCTTTAATTGTGAAGTACTGCTCAGAGGACTCCCATGAGATCACGAAGTGCTATAAAGCCCCATGTCTGGCACATATTAATGAGTGACTATTAGTTCTCATTCTTCTTCAGATACACAAAGGAGGAAAATACAGATAAAAAAAATAATGAATAAAGTATTTCTGGGTCTGCAGGTTCACATCTGTTACCACAGGGGCTGGGAAGATGGCTCAGCATGCATGAGGTTCATGGGTTCAATTCCTCAGCACCACATAAGCAAAAAGAAAAAAGCCGTAAGTGGCGCTGTGGCTCAAGTGGTAGAGCACTAGCCTTGAGCTGAAGAGCTGAGGGACAGCGCCCAGGCTCAGAGTTCAGGCCCCACAAAGGACAAAAAAAAAAAAAAAACAAAAAACAAAAATAAGTCAGTGGCAGTAGCTCACACCTCCAATTCTAGCTATTCAGGAAGCTGAGATCTGAGGATCACGGTTTGAAGCCAGCCTGACAGTAAAGTCTATGACATTCTTATCTCCAATTAATCATGGAAAAAGCTAGAAGTGGCACTGTGGCTGGAGTGGCGGAGTGCTACCTTGGGGCAAAAAGGAGTTCAGGGACAGTGCCCAAGCACAGAGTTTAAGCCCCAGGACTAGCAAAACAAAACAAAAAATAAAAAGGTCTCAAACTGAACATCTGGAGAAAGAAAATATATCTGACTTGGGCTGGGAAGGTGGCTCAATGGTAGAGCACTTGCCTTGCATGCATGAGGCCCTGGGTTCGATTCCTCAGCACCACATAAGCAAAAAGAAAAAAAAGCCAGAAGTGGTGCTGTGGCTCAAGTGGTAGAACGCTAGCCTTGAGCTGAAGAGCTGAGGGACAGCGCCCAGGCCCAGAGTTTAGTCCCCTTGACTGGACCCCCCACCCCCAAAAGAAAAGAAAAGAAAATATATCTGATATATCTGACTCAATGGATTAGACACTGCAAAATATCAGTGAATTTAAAACACAACAAAAGACACTATCTAAAATAAAACAGAAAAACTAGAAAACATCAAACATTTATTAGTGGGCTCTGGGACTTTAACTGGAAAATTTATATATAATCTGATTCCCTTCAGGAAAGGTGAGAGAAAAAGAGGGACAGAAAAAAAAACCCTCTGAAAAAATAATAGCTGAAAAATTCTCAAATTTGGTAAAACATATAAACCCAGAGATCCAAATAAACTCTAACTCAAGAATCATAAAAACTAGCTGGGAGCCAGTGGTTCACACCTATAATCCTAGCTACTAAGGAGGTAGAGATCTGAGGATTGTGCTTCACAGCCAGCGGGGGCAGAAAAGTCCATGAGACTCTTATCTTCAATAAACAAAAAAATCACAAAAACTATAGAACACATCATCATCAAATGAATTAAGGAAATAATAAAAGGAGAAAATCTTGAGCCAGGAGTAGTGGCATGTCCCTGTAATTCTAGCACTCTTAAGGTAGAGGCAAAAGCATCACAAGTTGGAAGCCAGCTTGGGCTAATACCAGACCCTATCTCAAAAACAAAATCCCACATTGAGTCTTACGTGAAAGCCATTTGAACAAATCACAGGAGTATCTGTACAGCAAGATGAGAGAAGAGCTAATGAAGAGAACTGGCCCTGTTGTGTCACTGTTAACCATTACCATCTAAAGAACTGTCCAATTCAATGGATATAGTGGTGTTTTCCATAAATGTATATTGAATTTGGGACTCAGTAACATCTAAAAAAATTTCTCATGGAGACTAACAATAGTTGTTTTGTTGTTGTTGTTATTGTTAAAATAGTCATTCTACATTGCCCAGACGGGTCTCTAACTACTGGACTCCAGTGATCTTCCAGCATCAGCTGTGACCGGTGTGTGTCACCATACCCAGTATCAATAATAATTATTTTTTACTTCTAAAGACTCATCTTAAACAGCCTTTTAGGAAAATTTATGCTAAGACAGGGGAACAATCTAAACCATTTTATTCTTAGGCACTAACTTTTACAACATATGACTTTTGTTCCACTGGATTCCAATTCTGACCACAAAGGCAGAGACTATTCCATCAAGTAACAGCTTGATGAGCCAAATCTAAGCATCAGTGAGCACAAGATACTTACATGGACTTCTCTCTATACGAACTGTCTTAAGAGTAGAGGTCTTTCTGGGGTCAGGCTTTGAGTTGATGAGTAGCCTGTTCAATATACCTGCAAACACACATACACTTAATTTACTATTGCACAAAAAAATAAGGGTGCTGGGCTGGAGCTGTAATTCAGTGGTAGAGTCCTTGTCTAGAAAGAGTAGGGCCTTGGGTTTTATCCCCAGTACCACAAAGGAGGGGGAGGGAGGTCGGCCAACAAACATCCCAAGACCTGTAAGTCTTGACTATCCCCTATCCCACAAGATGTTAAAACAAAAAAAAAAAAGGCACTCCAAGTTGCAGTGCAACATTTGGTGGTTCGGGTACATCCATCTCCCCTTTCTCCAGTCCATGGGATTTCTGAAGACAGGATTTACAAAACTCAAGACTTTGCACGTGTCTTAAGGTCCAGAAAAGCCCAGAAAGGCCCAGAAATCCTGTTCATCAACGACAGCTGAGGAATCACCTATTCAATTCAGGAATGGATTAGAATTAGACGCAGACTTTGAAGCCAGAAGGCTTAGCACCAAATTCAAGTTTTGCCACTTCCCAGCCAACCACAAGAGCTCCAGAAAGCCGCCTGTCTGTCTGTCACACACCCAGCCTCCGTTTCCCTTCTTCACAACGCAGAGAGAACAGAGGACTGGATCCGCTCCCTCCGGGGCCCAGCACGCGCTCCCAGCGTGGGCGCTCGCGACGCCGCCGCCGGAGCGTGCAGCGGACGCGGGGCCCTCCCGGGCTCAAGCACTTCTCCTCACACACGTTCTACGGCCTCTGTGAGAGAGGAGTGGCGCCGGGATTCGAACTGAGGAGCGGCAGGGGAGCCTGAAGGCGGGGTCTGGGTGCTGGGAAGGGGGCCGGGGTATCAGGCACCGCGATCCTCCGCTTCCCCGCCACCCGCCAAGAATCCCCGGCCCGCGACCCCACGGCGGCCCCAGCGCCTCGCTCACGGGAAGTACCCGTCCGCGGGGCTCCACCGCGTGGGTGCTCCCGTCCAGGGGGTGTACAGGAGGGGGGGGTCCCCTCCACAGTGGGGGCGGGGCACCGGGCCCCCAACCAGGAGCCGCCCCGCCGCGCATGCGCGCCCCACGGCCACGGCCGCCGCCGCCGCCGCCGCCAGACGGCCCTCACCTCCTCCGCCTTCGCTCCCCGCCGTCAACAGCTCTTTGGACACTGACGCCCTCGAGCAACCTTGAGTGGATGGCGAAGAGCTCCCGCCGGCCACGAGCTCGGTGTGGACCTCCATGCTTCCCGACAGCGTGCAGCAAAGCGCCCGGATGCAAGGACCGCGGTTCCGTCAGAGGGCGGAGGCAAATCAGCTATTGGAGAAAAATGGGGAAGGGGCGTGGAGAGGGGCGGAGCTGGTTGGGGGGCGAGGGGCGCGGCTAGCTACGATGGGGCGTGGCTAGCGAGGCGGGGGCGTGGCTGGAGAGGGCCACACCCAGCCCGGGAAGGACGCTTTGCTAGTACACCTGTGTTTACTGTTGTGGGTCTTATCTGGAAAGCGGTTGAGACTCCTGAGGTATTTTCATTAGAAAAAGTTTGCCAGGCTTGATTTAACTAAAAAATTATTTTTTTTAAGTCAAACGCCCTCCTTGTCATTCTTTGGTGATTCAAGGTTTCATGATGTTACCCTGTAGCACCGGCTAGCCTCAGCTTGCAGAATGAATAAAGGCACATTCGCCATCACTCTGACACTCATCACAATAGTATTGACTGTTTAAAAGCCTCGGTGTGCAACAGGTCTCTAGACCACTTCATTTTGCAAAATTGGAATTCTGGGCTAGGGTGTTGTTGCTCGGTGGTATAGAGTAAGCTTAGCATTCAGGAGACCCTGGTTTGTTGCCTGGCACGAAAAATATTAAATCTTCTTCAAAACAGGAAACTGTACCTAAACATCTCTCAATTTCTCCCTCCCTCAACCCTGGGAACAGTCATTCTGCTCTCCATGAATTTGACTGTGCCATATAAGTCGGTTTATATGTTTAAGTGGTGGGCTTATACCACTTAAAATGTTTTCAAGGGTTACACATGCTAATGCATGTGAATCTCCCCTTCTTCCTTTATTTCCTCTTCCTCCTTTTCCATGCTGGTACTGGGCTTAAACTCAGCACCACTCAAGGCTGGTGTTCTAACACTTGATCCGCACTTCTACTTCTGGCTTCTTGCTGGTTAATTGGAGATAAGCGTCTCACTGACTTTTCTGCAGCAGCTGGCTTTTAACCATTATCCTCAGCTCTCAACCTGCAGATTACAGGCAGGAGTCACCAGTGCCCAGCATGCTTTGGTATTCTAAGTATTATGCTCATTTTATCCAATGGCTGTTATAGAAAGAACAGAAGGGAGTTATCCTAGTTAAAAGAAGACAGTAAGTGCAAAGTCTAGAGTCAGTAACTTCTGGGCAGGGTTGATGGAGACCCATTGAGCAAGCAAGATCAGCAGACTTCTGGGTTCTCAAAGCTACTTCCTACTAGGAATAGGGCTTGTTAGCAGCATTACCTGTATTAGTGGAAAAACTCAGTAGGGACCTATCAACTGAGAGCTATAAGAGATACAAACGTCACACTGAATTGATTTCAATTAGCCAAAATTTCTCCAAGTAGTTCCTTCTGCCTGGCGTGCTCTTTCTTCCCTTTCTGATTATCTTCATTTCACTGATATGGAATGTTAGGCACACTGTCAGGAAAAATATCAATTCTTCACCAGTCAAATAGGGGACATAATCGTACCTAAGGTAGAAAGCTGTTGTGAGGACTGGGTTCAGGTGCAGAGCAGTGAGCCCTCACTGGATGGCTCCTGTTGTAGCCAAGCAACCCCATCCTTCTTACAGCTGAACCAAAACCCCTCAGAGCATCCATAATGTCTGTCCTTCTCTCATACCCTACATTGAGCATTTTAGCCGATCCTGCCTTTTTTACGTCTATCCTCAAACAGGTGAATCCAGCTTCTTACTATTTCCTATGTTGCCACTCTGTTCTGGGCCACCATCCCATTACCTGAATTGTCAGCTTTCCACAGGGCTTTCATTGACCTCTAAGCAGAGTTGGCCACATTCACTCAGATCCTTTCAGTGTCTCTATCTCAGAATCAAAGCCAAAAGCTTTACTATGGCCTATCAGTCACTTTTCTGATGCACTTGCTACCATCTCACTACAAACAGGACTCATTAAGCTTGTGTTCTCTCTCTCTCTCTCTCTCTCCCTCCCTCCCCCCCCCCTCTCATATGCCCTGTTCCTCTCTCCCTCCCTTCCTTCTCTTCTTCCTCCAGCTGGTAATTGAACCCAGAACTTCTTGTATGCTAGGCAAATACTCTACCACTAAACTATTCCCCCAAGCCTATTTTCAGTTTCCAGAACAGAATACAAAGACTTCTGTCTTAGGACCTTGGTGTTCGTTGTATTCTTTCCACTGCTCTCTTGCTCCTTCTGCTCAAACTCAGTGTCCTTAGATTACTCCAAATAAAACAGACTTCTCAGTCTCCCTACTCCTGCCCCACAAACTCTCCACCTCCCTAACTCTGCTTTATTTCTTTCTGTAGTAGTTATCACCATATGGCTATACAATACTTTTTACTTGCTTATTGTCTTTCCTCACTTCAACAGGATTCTGCAAGGCAGATGTTTATTTTGATCTCTACTGTATTGCCAGAACAGAGACTGGGAGAATAACAATTAAGTGCTCAATAAGTATTTGTAAGCAAATGAATGATGACATATATTTGGCACACAGGAGTTACTTCCTGAATGTACAAATAAATGTTCTAGATGCTTTCAGGAAGGATACTGATGGTGGGGGTGGGGACAGAAACTAGGATATATGTAGAACATTTGTCCTCAGGCCTGTATGTCTTCTGAATGATAGCTTTTTTTAATGCTTGAAAGGGGAGCACATTAGGAGATTTTATTTACTTTTAAGTAGTTTATACCGTGGTGTATGAGCCTCAGTGAATACCAGAAGCATTCACAAAGATCCTTATTTACTGGTCTGAGGGGAGGCTTGGGTATTTGACTTTTTGTATGTCTCTGTTCAAGGCTCAGGCTGGCTTTGAACTTACACTCTTCTCTCTTTGTCTCTTTTTTTGGGGGGAGGAGGGTCCAGTTGTGGGGCCTGAACTCTGGACCTGGGCACTGTCCCTCAGCTCTTCAGCTCAAGGCTAGCGCTCTACCACTTGAGCCACAATGCCACTTCCGGCTTTTTTCTTTTTTCTTATGTGGTGCTGAGGAATCGAATCCAGGGCCTCAGGCATGCAAGGCAAGCGCTCTACCACTGAGCCACCTTCCCAGCCCCTCTCTTTGTCTCTTGAGTGCTGATATTACAGAAGTTCACCATGGCTGGCTGAAATTTGACTCTTGGTTCCTGCATATGAAAACTGGAGTTTTAATACCATCTTCATAGTGTGTAATGATTAAGTAATCTTTGTAAAGTATATCACACAGGAAATAGTACTCTTAAAGCTCAGAGAAGCTGGGTACTGGTGGCTCATGCCTGAAATCCTGGATACTCAGGAGGCTAAGATCTGAGGATCATGGTTCAAAGTCAGCCCGGGCAAGAAAGTCCATGAGACACTTATCTCCAATTAACCACCAGAAAACTGGAAATGGCACTGTGTCTCAAGTGGTAGAACGCTTAACCTTGAGCTGAAGAGCTGAGAGACAATGCCCAGGCCCAGAGTTCAAGACCCACTACTGACAAAAAAAAAAAAAAAAGAAGATGAGAGCTTATGTCCTTACAAATAAGTATTGTTACTTTTATTCTCTTATTACTTGTTCTCATAAAATTTAGTTTTGATTTTATCTCAGTCTAAATCTCTTAGCTAAAGGCATAGCTAACTCAGTAACAGAGAGTATGCCTAGCATACATGAGACTCTCGGTTTGATTCCCAGCAAAATACACACACACACACACACACACACACACACACACACACACACACACAACATATAATCTTAATCTAAATGTTTACTTTTATTCCCATATTTATGTTCTATACATACATATAGTCAGAGCAAGTAGCGATGGCTCATATCTGTAATCCTACCTAATCAGGAGGCTGAGATTGGATGATCAAAGTTCAAAGCCAGCCCAGACAGGAAAGTCTGTAAGCTCCAAATAGCCACCAAGAAAAAAAAAAGTTGTGTCTTAAGTGATAAAATACTAGCCTTGAGCAAAAAAGTTCAGGGACAGTGCCCAGCTCCAACCCTGATTTTAAGAACCAGAGCCAGCACACACACACACACACACACACACACACACACACACACACAACACACACACACAGAATTCTATTTGAATGACATTGAATGCAGTATATCGAAAGCAACCCCAGCTGGGCACCTGGGGCTCTCATGTGTAATCCTAGCTAATCAGGAGGCTGAGATCTAAGGACTGAAGCTCGAAATCCGCCCTGGCAGAAAAGTTCATGAGACTCTTATCTCCAGTTAACCACCAAAAAGCCAGAAGTGCAGGTGTAACTCAAGTGGTAGAATGCTAGCTTTGAGTAAAAGAGCTAAGGGGTAATGACCAGGCCCTGAGTTCAAGCTCCAGTACTGGCACACACATAATAAACTCAAAATTGGCCCCTTCTGACCTCTTCCTTGTGAAATGAGGTTCTCTGACAAAGTTTCATCAGTATTGAAGAATCTGCAGGCTACTTGACCTTGGCTGTGTTGAACACTTTGATTGTGGAGAGATGGAATGTGGTAGGTCAGAGGCCAAAATTATCATGGGCTATTTAAGGCCATTTAATACTCAATTACCTTAGCCTTTGTAACTGACCTCACATTTTCCTGGGAAGGTTCTCAGAATGTATCTCTAAGTTTACCAGACCTCTTGCTTCCACCAAGCCAAGAATACCATTTCAGAAAAATTTCTGCACCTCGCTAGAGCCTGCATATCTGATGTCCCCACAAATGCCACTGGTAAATGTATTGATTTATGACTTCTACTCTGTGAGTATAAAAGTTCATTTGACTTTTACCCATGGTGCAACATGTCAATAAGGGTAACTTGAATCTCTGTTCCCTAAGCTATGGGCCAATCATATTTGGCTCAAAATAAATATTATCTTAATTCCCTTCAAAGTCAGAGAGTGGCATACACTGAAGTGAGACACTCAGGAGTCATTCTGACACAGTTTTCCCTTTACCATTCACACACATTCAAGCTCTCTATTGCTGTTCCATCTATGACCAGCATCTCATCTCCATCACCTGCAAAATGGTCATCATATACCCCTGCTGGGCCCTCCTCATCCATTTTCTTTCTTTCTTTTCTTTTTTTTTTGTTGGTCATAGGGCCTGAACGCTGTCCTTCAGCTCTTTAGCTCAAGGCTAGCCCTCTACAACTTGAGCCACAGCACCACTTCTGGCTTTTTCTGCTTATGTGGTGCTGAGGAATCGAACTCAGGGCCTCATGCATGCAAGGCAAGCACTCTACCACTGAGCCACCTTCCCAGCTCCCCTCCTCTTCTTCATCCATTTTCTACATTACAAACAATTATCCCCTACAAGTGTGACAGTGATTGTGCTGAGTCCTCACCAACTTTTCAGTGGCTTCTTCTTGTCTTTAAAAGTAAGTTCAAAAAGTCCTCAGTATGAACCACCTCCTCCCCCTCCCTCCCAGGATCATCCTGTCCCTTGTCCCTTATCCCTTTCAGAGCTAGCCATTCAGCCTAACCTCAATGGCTTTTACCCAAGGCCTTGACAGGCAGAAACCCTCTCTTCCAAAAGGCCTTGGAACTAGTTTCTGAAGCCAAGGTACTCCCCCTTCTTTTGTTGCTTGTCCAACCCCTTGTTCATCGAGGCTCAGATTAAATGTCACTTCCTCAAGGAGATCTTTCTCATCCCAGAGCACACAGGTCTCTTTGTTACAAGCATTCATACTTCCCAGGCATTTTCCCCCCTCAATCACCACAATGACAATGTGTAGTAATCCTCAGTTCTATGCCACTTGTTTCATATTTGAAATTGACAGCTGACAAGCAGAAGATGGAGTTGTGATGTGATTGTTGTCTCCTACACATATCAGGACTGAAGTGTTCAGAGGAGGATCTTCCTTTACTTGATTCCAACTTGAGTTATTTTTCAGGGCTGAAGTTCCCACTTTAAGTTTGAGTTCCCACTTTAAGCTCAACCTATCTCAGAAATACATACATGAGGTATAAAGTAGAAAGTTGTTACATCTAGATTTATTGAAATGAAAGGCAGTTGGAACTATCAGCAATGTCAGAAAAAAAATGGTAGAAACCCACAGAGGTTTACTTACCCTGTGTGTGCTTTGTATAGAAATCCTGAAAGACGGGCTGGGAAGGTAGCTCAGTGGTAGAGCGCTTGCCTTGCATGCTCGAGGCCCTGGGTTCGATTCCTCAGCACCACATAAGCAAAAAGAAAAAAAGCCGGAAGTGGCGCTGTGGCTCAAGTGGTAGAGCGCTAGCCTTGAGCTGAAGAGCTGAGGGACAGTGCCCAGGCCCAGAGTTCAGGCCCCACGACCGGACCCAAAAAAAAAAGAAATCCTGAAAGACTACATGGCTCCGGGAGGGATGCTTATCTATTGAATTACTAATTACTTTCTAGTTATGTGTAATTCAAAACAATAGTAAAAAACAAAGATTATCTGGAAATGCAGTGAACATTGCTTCCCTATGTCAAAGGGCAAAATTACATCAATTTTAACAGGCTTTACTTTTTTATTGTGAAGTATTGGCCAATACTTCACAAAACAGAATGAGTGTTTGAATGAGTCCCTCAGAGGAGCATTCTCTTATAGACATAAAAGGGTTGTCTTATAGACATTCTCTTATAGACAGTCTCTTATAGAAATAAGGAACTAAAAGCTTGTTTCAAAATGACTTGCCTTGCAAGCTAGACAGGGAGATTGAAAAATATAAAAATAATAGCTCAATCAACATCAAGTTGTTTTAAGGACTAAGACAGAAGTTACTTTATAATCATGACAATTGAAACTAACCCATTTCTGGTGGGAGTAAATGAACAAATTTGTTTCGGCTTGATGTCATAAAATTTTAGTATGATTTACTCCATTTTGATTTTTAGCCAGCTGGGTGGCCTAGCCCAGGAACATGTCCCAAACAATGCTTTCATTCCTGAAGGTGTTTTAAAATCTTTTAAAAAGTATTCTGTAAAACAACAGTGGTCAGGCATAGTGGTTCATACCTATAACACCAGCTACTTGGACAGTAAAGGAGGATTCTAACTCTAGGTCAGGTATGGCAAAAGCAGAAGACCCTACCTCAAAAGCAATCCTGATATAGTGGTGCAGTAGTGCCAGCCTGTGGTGCTAGCTACTCCAGAGACAGACGTAGGAGGATTATGTGGAAGGGAAAAGACCTCTCTGGTAAATAACCTAAAAGCAGACAGACTGAGGAAATGACTAAGGTGTAAGAGAAAGACAGAGTTCAGTTCTAAATACTGCCCCAAATAGTCAAAACGAACAAACAGACTATGCTATTATTAAAAAAATATTACTGTGGCCAAGTGTGGGTGGCTCTTGCTTGTAATCCTAACTACTGAGGAGGGTGAGATCTGAGGATCATGGATCTAAGCCAGCCTGGGCAGGAAAGTCTGAGAGTTTTTTTTGTTTTTGTTTTTTTTCTAGGGGCCTGAACTCAGGACTTGAGCACTGTCCCTGAGCTGCTTTTGCTCAAGGTTAGCTTGAGCCATAGTGCCACTTCCAGCCTTTTCTGTTTATGTAGTATTTGTGAGGAACGGAACCCAGGGCTTCATGTATGCTAGGCAAGCACTCTACCATTAAGCTACATTCCCAGCCCGGGGAGACTCTTATTTCCAATTAATCACCAAAAAGCCAGAAGTGGGCCTGTGACTCAAATGGTAGAGCACTGGCCTTGGGCACAAAAGCTCAGAGAGGGCACCCAGGCCCAGAGTTCAAGCCCCAGAAGGGGCACACACACATGCATATCACTCCAAAAGCTCCACTTATCCAGAAGGTGAAAGCTCGAAGACTCGTGGTAAACAGAAGGCAACAAGTTGGAGTTTAAACATATGCTGCTGTCCTTCACCACGCAAAAAGCCGCAACTAAGCCACTGGTGTAACTTAGAATCGGTGGAAGCTCTGATGTCAGGCAAAGAGTGTATATAGTCAGAAGTGTAATTTATGTTATTATCCTTTAAAGATATGGTTTTGCTGTGTATCCCAGGCTGGCCTCCAGATCACGGTCCTCCAGCCTCAGCCTCCCTAGGAATTTGATGACAAGCTTGCAATATCCAGGCCCTCCAGCAGTGTGATTTTAAACGTGAGTTTCTCAGAGTTAAGGGCCTGAGGACTAACACTTTTGTTTTGTTCGCTGGACTAACCAGGGGCGTATCCCATTTCTCAAATAACACACAGGGAGCTCAATAAATGGTTGTGAATCACATCTAAATGCTCAATAAATAGTAATTAAATGAGCCCTCGGTTTCACAGGACAAACGTTAGGTCATTTTTACCTAGATTAAAAAAAAAAAAAAAAAAGCAAGCGTGGGCAAATCTAAAGGCTTTGGCCTTCAGGCCACCTCGGGGGCCCGGCTGATCCCACCCCTATCTTCCCACCCGGAGGGCGCCAGGGGATGACCTAACTCTCATCCGTTTCGGTCGGGGATTTCAGCACGTGCACAGACCACGCTCCACGCAGCCAGGCGGAAGAGCACGCCCGGAGTCACAAGCGTCTGGGTTTTAATGACAGTCTACGGGAAACCCGAACCCCTGCGAGGTAGGGGCCCCTCGGCCTCGCAGCAGAACCGTGAGTCACGGAGAACCGGGCTCGGATGCTGGAACGGGCGAGGCGGATGGGCTGGGTGGGTGGGTGCGCATCAGGGCTCCCCGAGAAGGCCCCAATCCTCCTCTCCTGGGCAGCGCGGTGCCGCCCCTGGCCAACCCGCCAGTTCCCGGCAGAGACATCTGCCCGGGCGCGGCCTCGGGTCCCCGCGGGGCGGCACCGGGGACCCGGGTCGCCGCGGGGCCAGCCACATCATCAGTGCTGGCTCACCGCGGTAGCGAGGAACTCCCTCGTGTGCGCCTGCGCGCGGGGGCGGGGCTGAGCGCGTGCGCGAAAGGGGCGGGGCGCGTGCGCTGGGGGGCGGGGCGGGGCGGGACCCGGGCGAGCGGCCTGAGGCGCCGGCCGGCTGTCAGCTCAGGGCGGCTGCAGCGAGGAGGCGCCCGAGCCGGACGCAGTCCCCGGCTGGAGCGGCCGCCAGTCCCGCCGCAGGGTGCGGAGACTAGGTGAATGCCCCTCCCAGCCCTTTCGGTCCTCCCTCACCCCGGGCCGCCGCCCGCGCTCCTTCCGGGCAAGTGGTCGCTGAGGGAAAGTGTGGGCTGCGGCCGCGGCGCGGGGTGCCGGCGCATCCCAGGTCTCGGGCGGGGAGGGCGGGGGGGAAGGAGAGGGTGAGGCGGGGAGCGCCGGGCGCGGGAGGCGAGGGGTGGGGGGTGGGCGGGGAGGTCGCGGGGTCGTCCGCGTGGTGGATGGGGTTCGCCCGAGTCCCCAGGCCCGGGGCGGGGGCGCAGCGCCGGCCCAGCGCGGGCGGCCTCACGCCGGGACCCACGCCAGCCGCCGCGGACCCGCCGCCCCCGAGCCTGGACCGAGCGGGTGCGATGGAGCTTGGCCACGCCTCGCGCCGTGGCCGGGTGATGGGTGGAAGGTGAGCTCGGATGCGGACCAGGCGGGACAGGCTCGGCCACCCCGGATTCCTGCTCGGGGCGTCCGCATTGCCCGGCCACCGCCACCGTGGGCTGCCATCCTTGGCTTTGTGGGATGTGCAGTCTGAACCTCCAAACCGCCCAGGGTTGGTTTCCGGATGGAGGTGGCCACGGCGTAGCGTCTCAGGGGTTACCTAGACATTCCGTTTATGTGTGGATCGCACCCAGGGCATCTCTTTGCACATGGTTTTTTTTTTTTTTTAATTAGGCACCCTCCCAAGTGTGGCTTTTAGTTTATTCATGAAGTTTTGCAACTATCACCGCCACCCGGAGCATTTTCATCGCCAGGAAACGAAAGCCTGTTCCCGTTACTGGTCCCTGCTCCTGTCCCCTGACCCCCACCCCCTGGCAACCACTGCTTTCGGCTTCTCTGAGTTTGCCTACTGTGCACGTTTTATATACAGGGAATCCTGTATATAGAAGTCGCTGACTTCTTTCACGAAGCTGAATATTTTCAGGCTTCATTCAATGTCGAATCAGTACTTTATTTTAGTGCAACTCAATGACATGTGGGTACCACGGCAGCACGATGTGTCTGTCTGTCCTTCCATTCATTCATAGGCACTGGATTGTTTTTCACTTCTTGGCCATTGGATATAAGACCGCTGTGAAGTTTGACTTTTTGAAAAACGTCTAGACTTTTCCAAAGCAGGTGCACCATTGTACATCCCACCAAGCTGTGAAAGAGGGTTTAATTTTCCTCCACTTTTCCACTCCCTCTCCTTCCCCCTTCCTCTTTCTTTCCTCCCGTCTCGCATTCTCTTCCCTTCCCCTTCTCTTATTTTCCTTTCCCTCCCCCTTCTTCCCTCTCTCCCTCCCTCTCTTTCTTCTCTTCTCAAGCTTCTCTCCTCCCCTTCTCCTCCTCCCCTCTTCCCCCTTCTTCCCTCTTTCTCTTCCTTCCTTTCTTGTACTGGGATTTGAACTCAGTACTAATCTGTGTTATTTTGTAGCCATTTTAGTAGTAGGTACAACTGTTACCTCTTTGTAGTTTCAGTTTTCATTTCTCTAAGGATGGAATTGAGTGTCTTTTAATAAGCTTCGTGGCCATTTATGTATGCTGAAAAATATTCAAATCATTTTCCCATACTTCTATTACCTTATTTATTTATTGGTTATTTTTGAATCAGCATATGTAGTCGGGTCCGATCTTGAATTTGCAAGCATTCTGCCTCAGCTTCTTCAGTGGTGACATTATAGGTATATGCCAACAAGCTGGCTGGGTTGTATGACTTTTTACTTTTGAGTTATATTGTGTCCATATAGAGAAAAATATTTAATTTTGAGGACTGGCACAGACTAAAAATAAAACCAACAAATGTACCAAAAAACTGGAATGCTTATATAGGTTCTTGGGTAAAAGTTGGGTGCTATTTAAGTTTTTCAGAATACCTACCTGTTAACTTTCGGGCATTGTATCGGCCCTTTCTATATTCTGGCATTTTTTTTGGGGGGGGGGTCTGGTCATGGGGCCTGAACTCTGGGCCTGGGCGCTGTCCCTCAGCTCTTCAGCTCAAGGCTAGCACTCTACCACTTGAGCCACAGCGCCACTTCCGGCTTTTTTCTTTTTGCTTATGTGGTGCTGAGGAATCGAACCCAGGGCCTCAGGCATGCAAGACAAGCACTCTACCACTGAGCCATCTTTCCCTCCCCTATTCCAGCATCTTGAGAAAAGCTACAGAAGATGTGGCCCTGACCAGAGTCAAGAGAGCCCATTCATAGTTGCCTTTTTCATATATTCAGTGCTAATCACTTCAATTACAAATAATTTACATTAGTGACTAGCTAAACTAATAATGAATTGGCAAGCATAAGTTATCGATTAAAATGTCCTACATTTATCTTCTCAGGGCAGTTGAAGATCTTATTTTCTCTTGTTTATATGGTTTTTATTACAATTATATTTATATGTAGGTGGTAAATAGTTTTGATGGTGCTAATGTTAAGCCATTTATAGCTGAATGAACGTTGAGATGCTTATTGCAGTTTTACTTTCTGAGTGCACACAAATTCAGCCTCTGATCTTTCACAGCAAATATTATTTTAAAAACCATGACACTTTCTCCTTGGAATTCAAGCTCTTTTTCCCCCTCTGGTTTAATATAAATGTCACTAAAGAAACAAACTGAAGCCAGGCATAATGGTATGTGCTGGTAATCTCAGTATTCTGGAAGCTAAGGCAGAAGGACCAGAAACTTGAGGTGAGCCTGGGCTTCAAAGCCAGACCCTGTCTCACCCCCTGCCAAAAAAAAAAAAAAAAGGAAAAAGAAAAATAAAGAAAAGATTTAATAATACTTTTTTTTTTTTTTTGGGTCCAGTCGTGGGGCCTGAACTCTGGGCCTGGGTGCTGTCCCTCAGCTCTTCAGCTCAAGGCTAGCACTCTACAACTTGAGCCACAGCGCCACTTCCGGCTTTTTTCTTTTTGCTTATGTGGTGCTGAGGAATCGAACCCAGGGCCTCAAGCATGCAAGGCAAGCGCTCTACCACTGAGCCACCTTCCCAGCCCCTTAATAATACTTTTTAAGGCATGTCTAGGAAGACTTTATTCAGGACCATCAGAGTAGTACAGGAACCGAGCAATAGGATTTGGCATTTGGGGGAGAGATTTGACTGAACTCTAAATACTACATGAGAGAGTAGTTAATTATGGCCAAGAAAAGTATGAGGTTGTTGGATAGAAATATACTAGAGGAAACACTAGAGGTTAAGGGAATTCTGTCCAAGTCAACATAACAGGATTCTTGCTGGAAATGGGCCAAGGTCATCAGACATCATCTTAGGAATGGTGGAGGAGGCAGAGCCTGGTGTGATGACCAGGCTAAATTGGTTTTGACGGCATTCTTTGCTAAAACTCAATTTTACAAGGACGTGCACACATGGGCATGACTAAAATTGGTCAGTGTTTAAAAGTGCTAAATGCTTGGGGCTGGGAAGGTGGCTCAGTTGTGGAGCGCTTGCCTTGCATACCTGAGGCCCTGGGTTCGATTCCTCAGCACCACATAAGCAAAAAGAAAAAAGCTGGAAGTGATGCTGGGGCTCAAGTGGTAGAGCGCTAGCCTTGAGCTGAAGAGCTGAGGGACAGCGCCCAGGCCCACGACCAGACCCAAAAAAAAAAAAAAAAAAAGTGCTAAATGCCAGAAACTTTATAGAAAATAAAGATTTTCAAATGGAAATAATAGCTATTCAACTGAAAAGTGTGAAGTGAAAGTCTAGTACTAATGGCTCATTGTGTGTGTGTGTGTGTGTGTGTGTGTGTGTGTGTGTGTGTGTGTGTGTGTAAGTAAGTACTGGGGTTTTAACTCAAGGCCCCACACTTCTCTCTTGGCTTTTTTGCTTTTAGCTGGTGGTCTACCACTTGAGCCATACCTCTACTTACAGCTTCTTGCTGGTTCATTGGCAATAACATTCTCATGTGGCATATTTGTCTGTTTGGTTTAGCTTTGAACTTTGATCCTTAGATTCCAGCCTCGTGAGTAGCGGAAGATATTGGCAAAATGGGCTATCCTGAAGCTTTTAATTTTTAATTAATTAATTTATTTTTTTGTTGGTTGTGGGGCCTGAACTCTGGGCCTGGGCACTGTCCCTCAGCTTTTCAGCTCAAGGCTAGTGCTCGACCACTTGAGTCAGAGCACCACTTCCGGCTTTTTCTGCTTATGTGGTGCTGAGGCATTGAACCCAGGGCCTCATGAATGCAAGGCAAGCACTCTATCACTGAGCCACCTTCCCAGCCCTCCTGAAGCTTTTAGTAACACTTTAGAAAGTCAAAAGAAAGGGGCAGTAAAAACTGGGAATAGTTTGGGGACACGATCCCTAGTCGATGACCAGAGCTGACTGATGTGTCTCCTTATTTTGGGGTTCTAGGGACACCTCATCCTCTCTCTGAAATTACTGCAGTTAGGTTTGCTTAGCTTAAAAATATGTAGCTTTCCACATATATGTATATGTATATATACATACAACATATATAAAAATATATACACATATATGTACGTTTATATATATGTGAAAATAGAATTGTTAGTTACTTACTCTATTTTAATGTGAATGGATTTAATTAGGTTACTTTCTTCCTTATCAGCTAAGGAAGTGGGTCTTTTTACTGAAGGGGAAATAGAAGAGGCATATGTATGGTATCAAACTTTGTTTTAAAGATGTGGGCAAACCTGTATTTCAAAAGGTGTAGGTGTTGAAAATGGAGGTCTTTGGACAGTGTGAGGTATCTGGAAGATAGAAAAGCAAGAATGGTTGGTTTGGTGCTGTGCACCTATAATCCTAACTACTTGGGTAGGGGAGGTAGGATGATCACTGAGGCTAGCTGAGGCAAAGCATAAGACTATACAGAGAGAGAGAGAGACAGACAGAGACATAGAGAGAGACAGACAGACAGAAAGACAGACAGACATAGAGACAGAGAGACAGACAGACAGACAGAGACCCAGAGACAGACAGAGAGACAGAGAGAGACAGAGAGAGAGAAACAACTAAAAGCAGTAACTAGGGACATAGCTCAAGTGGCAGGGCACTCAAAT